AATGTTCCTGTAATTTAGTTCTGACCTTTATTCCCAAGCCTTTAGCATTAACAACATCATAGGCTAGTAATCACTTTCTCTCCCTACCTCTGCACAGAACTTACCAGTTTTTGAGTCCATTAAAGTTCTGAAGCTTAAAATCATAACACACTTTCTTCTTCAAAGGGATCCTGTGGAGGTGTCCTACATTAAGTTTGCTTGACAGGGAATAGTCATGGTATGGACCTGATTTTTCCTGCATTTGACAGAGGTCAAATGTGTATAAAAGTTCCTTGTTGGTGACTTCATGATCAATTTTCACAATGGTTAAAAACATAGATTTAAAAGCATTAATATAGGAAACTTGGAGGCTGGACATTTTCATTCATATGAGTTAACTGTAGAGAGTGACCAACTTCCTGCACTCTCCTGTGGGCAGAAGGAGGACTGTGGCAGAGTTGCTAGCTCCCAGTTTGGGTGCTTCAGTGGCCAAGCTGATGAGGTAGAACAGGTTTGCAGCTCAGTTCATGTGCAGCTATAGCTGCCTAGGTATTGGTTGGAATATATATATATATGTATATATCTATATATGTGGATGTATAGAATTATGTCTGCACAAAATGCAGATCTCTCTGCAGAAAAGTAATTTCTCTGCATTTTCTTTTGCAGAAAAGTCATTTCTCTTCATGCAGTAAAGACTTCTTTGCCATCAAAAAGAGCAGAAATACTATTAGAAATTGATGGTAACTCTGAATATTATTTCTAGTTCATAGCTATCTGTAAGTGGCAGCCAAATCTTCTGAATCTGATTTTCTTCATGCCTATAGCAATTTAATCTGGCAAATTAGTTAGTTTCGGGGTAGAAATAAAAGCAGGAGACTCAGACATGTTCTTCTATTCTGGTTTGTAGTGGGAGAAGAGTTCTGCAGCAAGAGGTGTCTTCCATTTACGCCAGTTTAATTTATAAATAATTCCAGCCAAGTAGAGGAATTGGGCTGGTAAGAGATGAAAAATAAAGATTGCATGGGGAAAATTCACACTCATTGTAGTAAAGCAATTTTTTTTTATTTCCTGTCTTCCAAGGAACTCAGTTCTTATTTATGATCAATCCTGTCAAAAAGATTCAAACTTAACCTAAGTGCAATGAAAAGCAGGTTGACCGAGTATTTGGCAACACACTTTCCAGGAATTGAGACTGTAGTTTCCTCTGGGAAAGATCTCCTCCGAATGATTTGCACTGGGGGAGAAATAAAGCAGAAATCAGATAAAACTCCTTTTCACAGAATCACAGAATTTTGTCATGAGAATCTCTCTCTGCAGTATATGTATATACACACACACACGTACATGGCAACACACACTTTCTCCAAAGCAACTTTAGATGTGTTAAAATTTTCATGAGAAACAAAATAGAGAGATGACTTTCCCAACTCCAGCCAAGTGCCACATCCAGATGTTCTGCCTTTCTATCAGGATAACTTTTGGTTTTTTGTAGCAAGTCCCCATGCCTCTGGTACATCTACCTAGATAACTGAAATGATTGAGTCCTTCCTTTCCCTATTCAATATTTTTACATTTTCAAAGCATCTGCTTAACACTGATTCTGCTAAAAATGGAGCAGGTTCTTGTCTTTGTAGCAACATGGTAGACCTGAAATTAGTGTTATGAGGAAAAGTTGTAGTAATGAAGAAATAACAATGATTGAATGTACCCAGACATGATATCTGTTGGGTGAGTTCTTCTATTTTCAATAGCAAGAAAAAAGGATGAAATAAGAACGTTTATTTCTAAAGTAATTAGTTTTGAAAATAGAAAAAAAAGGAGAAAAAAGAAAAAAAGGAAGCATACTAGGTCAATTTGAAATGTTTTTGCCGTAACCTAAATACACAGACCTTTGGTTCTTTGTGAGATAGTGCTAGGTATATCTGAATATATTCCTTTTTTAGTATCAGTATTTCTTTCTACTCTGCCTTGGATAGAGAGTTGTGAAATACAATTTATCTTGAAATATTTTTCTACTTTAAATGCATGTAAAGTTTTCAGCATAAACAAGCCTGATTATTATTATCTTTAGTCACATTATAGACAGAAGAGGGAAGGAAGGGAAAGGCTCCTGACTTTTTTTCAGCTATTGCTAACCTCAAATACTAGGTTAACTTTATATTAGTTCAAATATTTGATTTATTTGCTTGTTAGTGTTTGAGATAAACCAAGAATCATTGAGGGCCAGCTCCTGGCCCTGCACAGAGCATAATCTCCAAGAGTCTGAGAGCATTGTCCAAATGCTCCTTGAACTCCGTCAGGCTGGTGCTGTGACCATTTCACTGGGGATGCTGTTCTGTGCCCAAACACCCTCTGGGGGAAGAACCTCTTTCTAATACTCAACCTAACCCTCCCCTGACACAGCTTCAGGCCATTCCCTCAGGTCCTGTAACTGGTCACCAAAGAGGAGAGATCAGTGCTTGACCCTCCTCTCATGAGGAGAAAATTTCAAAATTCAAAGATATTTTGAATTTTCTGTTGATTCTGCAGGTGTTTGTCATACAATGGAAAAACGCCCCAGAAGAGGAAGACAATTCAAAAGCACTAAAATAGCCATTCCTCTAAAAGACACTAGTTCACTGAAAGCAGATGCCTAAGAAAAAAAGCCAAATACAAAAAATAAAAATAACATTAGGTTTTCAGAGAAGATATGAGCTTCCTAAATTTTACTCCCAGAGGATAAAGGGTTCTCAATACCTGGTGAAGAGTTGCTGGCAGCATTCAACTAGCTCTGTGCTGTTGGCAGGGAAATCTGTGAAGTTGGAAGCATTTCCTAATAAGATGTGGCAAGGAACTTCCAGACTAGGGACAGTCAGCATTCCTGTGAAGTAAGTTACAATTTTCTTAATGAATAATGAAGACGAAGATAAGATTTGAGAATGTGAGTCATGAAGCCATGATCAAACAAACCATTCTGTCTGACGCAAAATCACCATTTGAGGTGGTTATGTAAAGGTACAAGGTCAAAACCTTTGAACTGCAGGACTTCTCATCTGAATCATTTTTAAAAACTGAATTAAGTAGCAACTACAACAGTTTATCTACTTTTTATATGTAGGAATTAAAGTACAGCAATGGCTACACACTTGGATACATTTTGGTTTTCTGCCTCCTTTAATGATATTAATGTTGTGTAGTAATGCCTTTCTCATTGCTGGGTCAGTGTGTTTTCATTAACTAAGATGAAGTTATGCTGTATTTATAGAAGTGCAAGTAAATACAGAACTTCTTATTTTGTTTTAAATTGAGTTTGCTTTGCTACATATTCTTTAAAATTTCCTACTAATACTAATGTCATCAGTCACTGGAATAATGGAAACACAAAAGTATGAAAGTGGTAGCTCCTTCTATATGTAATGTTGTAGAACTTAGACATGTTTTTAATACATTCTTATCTTAACTGGGATAATAGAAATTGCTTGGCTTTTCTACTTTCTCCTGAGCATAAGAAAAGCATTTGCCGTGGCAGGAGTGGGTGGAATGCAATTTTCATTCCAAAGCAGATTCTATTACTTTAGAGAGATTTTCTCAGTGGCTGTTCACAATATTATTCTTAAGATCAGTATTGTGAAATGACATATTTTTGTAGAGCTTCCTGGTTCCTCAGTTATGCAGAGTAGTGTCATGTATTAAAATATTATGGACGGCTATGAGACTAATGTTATTTCAAGTTTGTTCTGTAGCCTTCAGAAAATGGTGTGGGTTCATCTTTAAAATCTCAATGTTTCTGTTGCTACCATGAAGACCAAGGCATAGAGAAGTTGGGGTAGAAACAGACATAGTGGTTTTAGCTACACAAAATACCAAGATCTTTCTTCACTGTTGAAATATGAGTCCTTTAACCTTCATCATTCCATGTCATACCAATTTTGTATACCACATGCTCAGGAAAGAGAGCTGGAAAAGGGATTGTGAAATACTGAGGATAAATTTATAATCTACTGAAACATATCAATGAATTAATCTTCTGAATAATTTCTTTGTTCTTTTTCATTTACTCCCTTAAATGTCTGTTGTATTGTGACTTTTCACTCAAATTAAAGCTGAAGTTTTGAAAATAATGATCAGCTGTGGAGTCCCATTTTAGGACCATTTCACAAGCCTAAGTGCTCTGTGGAAATATTATCCCCTCAAAATATTCACTTAACTTTATGACAAAGAGTTGTTCTCCTTTGCTTACTCTTTTACACTCTTTCATTTCATTTTCCTGTTTCTTTTCCAAATTTAGCTCAAAACTTTCCAAAATTGGTTCTCTATTCCTGTATCTAGTGGTGCAGAGGAGGGATCGCAATTCATCTACAAATTGCTTTGATTATGAGTCACATGTTCTGCACAGACAAATAAATCAACAAAAAAAACCCACAAAACAACAGCAACAACAACAAAACCAACAAAAAACCAAAAAACTCCCCCATTAAAACACCATACCCCTCTCCTAAAAACACAGACATAATAGAAGAACTGAAATATTTACATCTTTTCAAATTCTAGTTTTCAAGAAACTTTTGTCTCATATCAACTTTTAATCCTGCCGAGCAAAAAAAACCTTGTGTCTGAGTGACTGAGGCAGCCTAGGAGGATATAGTATGGTGCTGGTGCAGTGCCCCCTGGTGGCCACTGGCCGTAGGGGACACCAAACCTGAGCACTGTACCTGCCACACAGGCCGTCATGAAACAGGCCACCGTTCCTGCAATCATCGCTCTGAAAGCACCGTCGGCTATTTCCTTCTTTTTTGAGGGAGCAATGCTTGCTAGAAGAAATACAAAGTGTATGTCAAACAGAAATATATATATAAGGAAGATGAATCTACCAGCTTCTGCCCCTGCAGGAGTAATTTCCCACCCTGCAGTTTAAACTAAGGGAAACATGGAGGAAAAATGGGACATTTTTTAGTGGGTTGTTTGAAGGCCAAGTGTTGGCTTTCTCTGTTAAGAGGATTGCTTATATTTAAAGTTGTAACTTTTGTTTTCTTTGGCAGCTTGCACGTCAGTGCTGAATGATTGAGCCCTTCAAAAGAGTCTGGCCCCATAGCTGGGTTTTGCTGCTCTACGCTGCCCCACTGCTGAGCCCACTGTGGCTCCAGGGCAAAGATGACTGCCAGCAATTCTGGCTGCTTGGTGAGGAACTCACATGGTTTTTCAATTTTTCTTTTTTCACTGAGATCTGAAAACCTTCTTTAAAAATTCTTTCCCTGTAAGCTTACTGCAGATATGTGATATTTTTACAGAAAATAACCAAATTCATCTGTCACACCAGCATGCTATGGAGTTGACCTGCTCCTCCTGAAGCTCATGGGCAATAGTGGCTCAGGTTCATGTCTGAGGTCTAAAGAGGGAAGGCTATGAGAAGGGCTTGGTTCCTTCCCCTTGTCTTCAGCACCTCTCCCAGTACTTCCCACCAAATCCTGTATCCCCTCTCTGGGTGCCCTTACATTCACAACTGAGGGCTAGGTTTTGGCAGAGCAGCTGCTCAGCCCCTAATACTGCTAAGCTCCACCCATAGCCTGTTCCTTTTGGTGCTTTCTTTGGGATTTGCTCAACAAACAAAGTGTCTGTGAGAGTGGTTCTTACTCAGGCCTCCTATTACCAGTCCCAGGGAGCCGAAGTTGGCAAATCCACAGAGAGCATAGGTGGCAATGACTTCAGAGCGAACCTGAAAAACAAAGACACACCCTCTGAGCGGTTTGAAACAGTTCATTGTGATTTAAAGGTCTAAAAACATGGCACTATGGCTCTGAGTACAAAAATAACTGCTTTGCTTGGTTGCTGCCCAAGGTGTGGCTTTCAGAAAGGTAGACTTGTTCCCTTGTTAAATGTCACAGGCTTTTATACCCACTGCCCATGTGAGGACTGACAAACTATGCAATGATTTTATCTTTCACATATATTGTTGTGCCTTTTTGAAGTGAGTAGTAGTAATTAAAGACAAAGAAATCTTATCTTACTAGTGGCAATTTAACTGCTGTTTTCTGAAAGTATGAGTCAGAGAGCAATAACTCAACTTGTTTTTCACAGCTGGATGCCTCTATAAAACTCTTTTGAAACCTCAAGTTTTGGTATGTATCCCTGAATTCTTTGACCCTGAAGAAGCAGAGGGCTCTATACAAAGCTACTTTGTGCATTCTCCACCCCATGCAAAGAAGACAAATTGGTCACCTAGGAAGCGCGTGTTGAAAGGCAGAGATTGACATTATGAATTTGGAATCCCCATTAACAGCTTATTTCTGTACTGACTTCTGCCACCTTTCTCCCCTTGGGTAACACCAACTAAGCCTGGACGTCAGAGTAGATACAAGGCTGGCCTTTGCCTCCACGGAGGGACCATTCACAGGACACAAAATGGTCCTTTAGGTGAAATCAGAAGGCTTGCAAGGTTTGGCTACAAACCTTGCAAGCCTTCAGATAAATGTAGTTCAAACATTTTGAGAAAGGAGGCAACATATCTCAGCAAATGGATTTTTGTCCCCCTGGCAACTCCGAATTCCTATTTACTGTGGTTTAGGTTAAAATGAGTGAGTGTTCTAGCAGGTTTCCTGTTTATTAGAAGTTCCTCTGGTTTAATTCCTCTTTTATGAACATCAATTTGTAGATACTTTCAATCAATCTGTACAAATGCAGGAAAATGTTTTTCAAGTACCCACTCTACCAGCTTTTCCTAGAAAAAGCTCTGTGTACCCTGCTTTCATTTGCACTCTCCTAGCTCTGAAAACAGGAAGCCATGTAATTAATGACTCAGGTGAAGACACTTGTTTGCTCAGTCTGAGAGAATATCTGTGTGCGGATGAATTAGAGAGCTCTGAAGCTGAAGGGAAATTAAAAACAGATGCCAAGCACACCTTCACCTGAACTGTTGTGCTGTAATTATAATGGTTTTCAGCCAATTTTTACCAGCATTATGAATTAAAATTGTTTATGTTTCTCAGAGCTTTTACTATGGAAGTTAATATAGCTCCTTATAGGTATTAGAAGTGAATGTGAAAGTCCTATATGACATCTTATGCAGGAAAAAAAAAGTTAAATAGAGTTCCTAAGATCTGTCTTTTAAGGCTGCATTACATACTAAAATAAACCCTTATTCACTCATGCAGGAATTCAGTGTCATTCATTTAGTAGAAGGAAGCACAGTTATAGCAGGGCACATCAAAGATCATTCTAGCCCAGAGTTCTATTGCCAGGAATTCCAGGAACACTGGTAATGGATGCTCAGACAAGGATGTGAACATTTGATCGGACCGCCTGGCTTTCTACTTCCACGTGTGAATTATCTTCTGGTAATTGGGAATGCAAACGATCAAGAATTTGTTTTTTGTTTTTAATGTAAGAGATGTCCACAGCATCCCATCTGATTCAAAGAATCATGTAAGTGCTGTACAAAATACTTTCTAATCTAAAGGGTTTCTTTACAGTGACAATCTGTCTTGGTTTAAGAAAGAAGGGTCAATGGATGCATAAAGTTGGATATCATGGTTTTTGTTGCCTGTGCTCAGGAGGAATTCAGCATGGGCCATATGTGTGAATGCCAGATAGTAGAGCAGTCATGTCCACAAAAGTCAGCTTTGATCACTGAATGACCTTTGGCCCCATGCACACATGCAAGATGCCCTTAGCATTGTCTTTCTCAGGGTGCTGTAGTAGGAGCTACATGTCTGTTGGGTAAACTGTGAATGAGAGTTGGAACAAGGCTGGAAAGCTTGATTGAGACAGACTGGTTGGACTCAGTGTTGCAAGGGAGGTGTATGGCATGTACTACATGTCTTTTATTACTGCCCTCTGCAGAGGGAACAATAGCCTACAGCAAAGGTGTGCCAGTAATGCCACCTGCTAGAGCTTACTGGATGCTTCTCTTCAAGTTTAATGCTTGGACAAACCTCTGAGGGCAGGAGGATCCTCGAGTTCTTCCTCAGGGTTTTCTTGGGAGAGTAGCTCATAGAGAAGTATTGAGAATCAGGTAAGAAGAAACTTGCCTTGAAGATAGCCTCTGTCTTAAGAGTGGTGTCCTGTGGGACACTGCATGTTCCCTAAACCCACGCCCTTCTGTCTCTATGCTTGTTCAAGACATCTAGGGCAATGAGAGTCAAGGAACTGCACAGAGCAACGCTGCACTTTCATGACTTAACTCTGTTGCTCAAAGACATATCTTAGAGTAATATGCCACCATTTTATGCCCATATTAAGTAATAAGTCATTTCAACGTTGAAGTATTTGATCAAATAAATCTGTAGGACAGAAAATGTTACTTACTGTCATATACTGTTTCACACCATTAATGTACATGCTTCCACCCTTTTCTCGGTTTTGAATCAGTTTTGAAAGGCGCTCATAAGCCAAAAATTCATTGAAGAAAGTTTTGTAACCTAGTAGTCCACCAACAATGAAACTGTCTTCCCAGTCTACTCCCATCATGAAAGAGAATGGCATGAAGACATAAGCACAAATGTTCTGCAGAATGTATAAGAAAAAGCAGGTCAAAATAAATGTCAGAAAGCAATATCAGACAGTAACTTTTCTAAACTTAAAATAAGGATGGTTTTATTTCAGCAGAGGAAAATTGGCCTTCAATTTTTGCTGCCATGAACTCTGGGAGAGTTTTTAATTGTCAGGCATGCTTGAGTACCTTTTAAAACATTAATCAAGACTCTAGATATAACAAAATATTTATATGTCCCTAATTTTATATGTAAAATAAAACAAAGGTTTCTGTGCCATCTTTTCACTCGGTAATGGCTTCAAAATTGGACACAGTGTTTGACAAAAAGAAGGAAGATTGAACTAAAAGGAGAACTGAGGATTCTAATTCTTCTGCTAGATTAAATCAAATGTGTTAATGAACAAGCCTAATTATCAGGTTATTGGACTCCAACGGCTGTAAACAAAAGAGTTGTCTCTGCATAAAAGCTGTGCATCTGACACAATTAAAACTGTACCTATTTTTCCCTGGCATTATAAGATTTATGCAAATTGAAAAAGTAATCCCATATCACAGTATAGCTTGTTTCTGTATGAGAGAAAATAGCTCCAACTGTGACAGGTTTTGGTCAGATTGTGGTCAGAGAATGTAATGGAGGTCTTAAAGCAGTTACTATTTCTGGCTGGTTTCTCTGCTCAGAGAAGGTTATGCATTAGTGTCTCCCAAGGAAAAATTGACTGCATGCATCATGTCTGTGTGTCTCAATTCCTCGTGGACTATCTGCCTCTCCAAATCTTATACCACCCAGCAGTTATGAAAATACCAGCCCCTGCATGAGTCTGCCTAAGGCATGTGTACTTGTGACTCTCCTCAGCTGTGGGTGTCTGGGGTGCAGTGAGAGATCTCTGAAAGACTAGCAGGGTAATAACTTAGTGGTGCTGAAGCCATATCTGTTATGAGTGGCCATTCACTTCAGCAGCACCTTTAACACAAGTAATATCCCTGTTTCTCCCAGGGCTTTTATTAGGGTCTTGCGAAAAAAAAAGGGTCATAACCACTGAAACTAGGTGATTGCATTGGGTCAAAAATGACGTATTGACCTAGGTTCAAACATTTGCTCTGTTGAGTGATTTGGGTATGGTTTCACTTTGTAATTGTATTGAGAACTAACTGATATGGAGTAAGTCTGGTTTCAGGCAAGTCTGGTCCTTCCCCAGTGTACCCATATAAGTGAGCACAGCAAGCATTAAGGGTTTGATGGGACCTTTTGAAGATAAAGGCACTTTTATGTTTAGCTGCAGGAGATGTTAATGGCTTGGCAAGCCTGTAGTTGACAGATGTGCAGCACTGCCAAGTCAGAGAAGGCAAGTGCTAGCCTGCTCTGTATAAACATACCCTGGGAGTTAGCAAGAACACCACAGAGGGAAACAGCAGGTGGACTAATAGAAACAGAAATACTTAAATGGCAACAATTTTGCTTTAACTGTTAAGAAATTGTTCAGACATGCAAATAAAAGATGGATTTTGATCATGTTAAAATACAAAATGAGAACAAGAAACAACAACAAACAAATCACACAAGCACTTAAATTTGAGAAACACATATTATGCATGTATGTCAGCTGCATGAATAACCAGGAGATCATACCTCAAAGGTCAGCTGTGGATAGTCAAACAAGTTGCCCACCCAAGAAAGGGCTGAGTCAAGGAAGCTCAGCAGGGCAAGGAAGGAGATCACGCTCACAGCGATGTTTGCTACCAGCCCGATGGAGGTAGAGGCACCCTGGCTGGCTGCTTCTAGAAGATTCTTTGATTCACTTTGCCAAGGAAGAGAAAATCAGAGTGTGAACATCTTTAAATTCAAGAACAAATAACAGAACTAAAACGTACACGCACTTGATTAGAATTCTAGTACTAAAGCTATCTGTACACTCATAGAGAAAATAATGAAGAGGAATGATGATGTGAAGTAGGCTTTTCCTGTCAATCCTCATGGCAGACACTTGAAGCATATGCTTGTGGTTCCCTGAGGATGAATTCTGGTACATTCAGGTTGAGCAAGATCTCAAAACTGTAGCACTGCTTGTATTAGGCAATGGTCACTGCTCTTCTCCCACACAGCCCTTGCAGAAATGCTTGGGTCATTCAGAAGCAGATCCTTAGAAGCCTTTTTGCTTTGCCTGTCATTGCCAAGAGAAGTGTGCCTGCAGATGGGCAAAATATTTGCTGCTGTTGTGAAATTATTGCTTTGTCTTTGCTTTTTACATGTTTGCATTTGCAGATTCATTACAGAAAAAAGACAATAACATTACAAAAGGGAAAACCTCCTGGCAGGTCACCTCAAGTAGGCATTTCCCTCTTTCTTTGGAGTTTACAGTTTGGCCGAGGTCCTTGACATATGTTACATTGTAATGGGGCACACTCACCTGAATTCATAAATCAACCATTTGCAGCATTTAGTCTTTAATTAATTTCTTGCTTGAACATCTACCACATAATGCTCCTAAAATTTATGTGTGAGCAGTTATTATCCAGACCTCATTTTTGCAGTGATATTAACTAGTACCTAGATCAGCTTACCTTTTTGCCATTTGTATGCCACTCCTCAGAGTTACCAGGGGCTTTTCAGTTTCAGGCCAGAATAATTTGGAGACAGCTAATGATGCTGGCGCTGACATAACAGAAGCAGTCAGTAGGTGGGAGGAGGAAACCTGGAATTCCAGGTGAAAGAAAGTACTCCATGATAACCATATTATGCACAAACACGTAGGAATGCTATTAATTTTTTTAGTTGTTTGTATGATTTCTCTACAGGACGTCATTAAAAGTTCATATTGCTCATAAGGAAATGAAGAGAATGAGCTGTCAGAAGACCATGGATTTTTGTGGCTAATTCCTTCAGAGACAAAAAAACCCAAACAGTGGGAATGATTGAGGGATACTTTCAAAGCATTGCAGCTGGGTGAAATACTTAAAAGATTTCAATAAACCATTTATTTTCTAGTTCTTTTCCCCTGTCTTACCCCAAAAGAAATATATGCTCCTAAGACACTTCCAGCAATAGTTGAGAATCCTGCTGTCATGACTGCATGGAGTTCAGATTTGGTGATATATGGTAAGTAGGGCCGTACCAGGAGAGGAGACTCTGTCTGGAAGTGAAAAACAAGCACCAAATTAAGAAATCCTTAATAAAAGCCCAAATATTTCTTTTATTAAGGGCAGAAAAATGAATGTCTGAATCATACTTTCTTGGGTATTTTTGACTAGTTAATCCTAGTACTAGCAAGTACTACAATTTCAATAGACTGGGGCTTTTTTATCCCAAGAAAGAGAATGTCTGAAGACAATTCTGGCTGGTTCATTCTGCTGTCTCCCTAAAAAACACAATGAAGCTGCCAAGAAATTCTATTCCAATTCTGAGTGACTTAGGGACAGCCACAGGTCTGAGCACAGATAAGGCTGTTAGTCAAGTGAAACATGCTCCTCTGGCATGTGTGTGAGCACATCCTGGAGGCACTGTCATGCAATGGTGCTACTCTAAATCTTGAAGCAGTGTGATGTTGTGATGCACCGCTGCTAAATATCATGTTAATAGTGCATTTGGGCCTGGATGTTAATTGTGTATTTTCTACAT